ACACGACCAGGAAACTCCACTGATGTGTAGTTGAGACTCTGGGAACCCTGCCATCCAGATTCTTCACAATTCTCAAATAGCTTTTCTTGACTTTGTGTATTTAAATATCCCAGAATAGCCTCTTGAGCTATAAGTTGGATGATCCGAAACTATTTTTAGCAGGATGAGTACTCTGTGACCAATGTTATATTTTATTTTGAGAAAAACAAACAGTTAAAAAGATTGATAGGGCTGTGGCTCTCTCTCTCTCTCTCTCTCTCTCTCTCTCTCTCTCTCTCTTTAGAAACAAGGTTTCTGTGTAATGGCCCTGCCTGTCCTCGATTTGTGGACCAGGATGGTCTCTAACTCAACAGAGATCCTCTAGCCTCTTCCTTCCAAGTGCTGGGATTAAAGGCATGGACCACCACAGCCAGCATGGGCTGCACATTTTAAATGGAAAACGGTGCTAGGGCCAACAAGGAAGGTGAGGTACAAAGAATTTTTTTCTTTTAGTGGTTTATCCAAAGGCTGGAGAAGCCTTCTAATTCAAGAAATGCAGAGGAAGTCTGAGCTTTAACTGAAATAGTCTTACTCCATCCATGTGTTTGGTTAGTTGACCTGGAAATCACTATTTAAACCAGGCTGGCCTTGAACTCGAAAATGTCCTCTTGACCTCCCAAGAGCTGGAATTAAAGGTGTCTACTCCCAGGAGAAGGTCAGCAAATCTTTCAGATTGATAGGACACTTTGGGCTAGGTAGCCTGGATCTGCCCAGCACTTACTCAAACAGATGAGAGAGAACTCTGTCATAAGTAAAACTAACACAGTCATCAGTCATAGGGTTTATGTATTTCCTCCTATAGGCAGGAAAAAATGAGAGGTAGGAAGGTCAAGGCCAACCTCAAAAAAGATTAGCTGTTTTTTTTTTTGTTTGTTTTTGTTTTGTTTTTTTTTAAGATGTCTTTTATCATGTTAACCAGGCTACCATTGAACTTTTGAACTTTTGGATCCAAGGGATTGTTGTTGTTGTTTGTTATGAAAAGGTTTCACCAGGAATGGTGGTGTCTGCACAAAAACCCAGCACTTGTGAGGCAGAGGCAGGCAGATCTATGAGTTCAAGGCCAGCCCTGTCTATGTAGTGAGTTCCAAGCTAGTTATGGTTGCATAGTACAATACTGCTCCCCTTGAACATCTATTCCTCTAGCCCTCAAGGGAACTTTTGACTTAGCTTTCCAAGCAGCTGGACCAATAGGTGCATAACACCATGCCAAGCAGAATTCTTGAAGCTTCTAAAAGTTGTTATATAAATTATGTAACATGTGGGTGGAAAGAAGACTCAGTGGTTAAAGATACTGGCTACTCTTTCAGAGGACAATGGTTTCATTCCCAGCATTGGCAGGAAGTTTGCAACCATCTGTAACTCCAGTTCTGGGATCTGACGCCCTCTTTTGTACTCTGTGGGCACTGCATGCACGTGATGCACATAAATGTATACTTTTGTATGTGCAAATGGTGCATATACATATGTGCAGGTAAAACACCCATACACATAAAATAAATGGAAAAAAGTGTAGGGGCTGGAGAGAAGGCTCTGCTGTTAAGAGCTCTTATAGGGTTGGGCATGGTGGTGCATGCCTTTCATCCCAGTGCTTGGCAGGCAGGAAAATCTCAGGTGGATCTCTGAGTTCAAGCCTGGTCTACAGTGTGAGTTCCAAGACAGCTAGGACAAAAAGAGACAGAGTCTCACTAGGAAGACCTAGCTGGCCTTGAACCCTCAGAGATCTGTCTCCCTCTGCCTCCCCAGTGTTGGGATAAAAGTGTGTGCTACCATACCCAGCTTAGTTTCATTTTTTTTTCAAGGCTGCATATTTCACTGCATGTATAGATATATGGGAACACACACACACACACACACACACATACATACACACAAACCCCCCACCATTTACTGTACAAAACCTCAGGTTCAACCCTCAGTACTTACTAAAACCCAGCAACAACAGATCCCACTCATCCATTATTGGACATTCAGATTTTATTCTATTTTTTAAATTTTGAGACAGGGTTTCTCTGTGTATTCTGGCTGTCCTGGTACTCGATTTGTAGATCAGGCTGATCTTGAACTCACAGAGCTCTGCTTGCCTCTGCCTCCAGAATGTTGGGATTAAAGACATGTGCCACCACTGCCCAGATGGCTATAGTTTTCTTATGAGACTGTCTCTTGTTGTTCAAGTTGGTCTTAAATTTATTGTTATTTTTGATCTGGCCTGATCCTCCTGCCTGTAGCTCTTGAGTGAGGTTACAGGCATGTACAACTATGTCCTATTCTTTTGGCTATTTTGAATATGTTGCCCTTTCTCTTCAAGGTCTCATGTAGTCAGTCCCACCTGGCCTTTAACTATGTAGCCAAGGATAGTCTTGGTCTCCTGATCCTTGTGCCTCAGTCTTCTAACTGCTGGGATTACAGGTGTGTACCACTAGAACCAGCTTGTTCTCATGTTTTCTAAAGGCTTTTCTTGTCATCAGCCATTTAACCCTATCACCCTTTCCAGGTAGTATCTGGTAATTGTCTTTAACTTAAATTTGGAGAATTTTCTGGTAATTGGTAAATTTAAAGGTGATAGTATTTTGTCTACTAGGGAATGAAATGCCTTCAGAGGCAGCAATAAATTCAGAGACACCTCCTCCTTCAAAGAGAAGTAGTAACAACATACTTTAATTTTCTAGGACATTTGATTTTGAATGATTACTCTTACTTGGATCTGTCCTCTAGCAATACAAAACTAATTGTAGGCTCTACAGTGTAAGAGATGGGGAGAAGACTAAGCCCGGAAAGGCACTTGCCAAACCTGGTATCTGAGTTCAGTGCCTATAACCCATAGTGGAAGGAGAGAAACATATATCCCAAGTTGTCCTCTGATCTCTACAATCATACCATGACACATACACACAGAGATAGGTAAACATAATTTTAAAAAAGTTCTTCCTGTATTCTTGAAATCATACTAAGTATTTCTACTCTTTACTATAGCCTTTTTCCTTTGTGGAAAGTCTTCCTTGTCTCCACCATTTTGTGCATATAGTCTCTCACTGTTAGGTCAGGACTGATCTAGGTGTTGTGGAAGTAAGAGAAAGGGGAGACCAACTTCTTCCAGGATCAAAATCATACTTTTATCAGAACTGAAGGACAGCATTCTCTTCTTAGGAGTGGAGACTGTGTGAGGGCTCTGAGGACTTGGGTTTTATAGGGCAGTAAAGGGGACCTTTAGGTGGGAAGATTTTAATTTACAGACCTATTTTCTGCTTTCCCAAGCTCATAAATTTTGGTGGAGTCCTTACTAGGTTGCCATTCGTGCCAGGAGTTCTGACATGCTGATCCCTGGTCTGGATCCTCCCTTGCTCCTAACCACCCGCTGATACCTACTCTTCCTTGGTGGAGTTTTTCAGGGGCTTTAACTCTTCACTCATCACCTTTTACCAGCATCCCTTGCTCAGCTTCCTTGTTGATGGGGATAATCCAGGGTGTGTGAATGTGCTGGATGGCCCTGTGCTGCACAGAGGCTTGAGGAGAGCACTGGTATATTTTGTTACTCTTTGATGTCATTCTTGGAGGCAGGGTCTCTCTCAGAACTTGGAGCTCTAGTTTTTTTGGACTATGTTAGTAGTCAGGTTGCCCCTCCAGGTAACCTCTTGTCTCTGGTCTGCTAGGTTCTGGTACAGAGGTGAATGAGAGAGTGTCTATCTTGTGGGTGGTGGGATTCAAACTCCAGTTTTTATGGTTTCTCATCAAGTACACACCCCCTCCCTCTGACAGGGTTTCTCCGTGTACAGCCTTGTCTGTCCTGGAACTGACTCTGTAGACCAGGATGGCCTGAAACTCAGAGATCTGCCTGCCACCACCTCCCAAGTGTTGGAATTAAAGGTGTGTACCACCAGTGTCCTACTTCCAGAAAGTATTCTTAACTGCTGAACCATTTCTTCAGCCTCTAACCCACATTTTTTTTTTTTTTTTTTTTATTGAGTTGAGGCTTACATACTGTGGGCAACCTTCAAGAAAAGTCACAAATAGGCGAAACTTCAAAATTCTTGCTTTTTTTTTTTTTTTTTTTTTTTTTTTGTGCTGTTGGGTATCTAATCCAAAGCCTTATGCATGCAAGAGTTTTACCTGTGTGCTGTAGGCTGATCATCAGAAATGCTTGTTTAAGTATTAAACTGAAGGTCACAATAGTTTAAGATTCTTTAGCTTAAACAAGGCATGGTGGGGCATTCCTGTAACCTCAAAACTGGTGAGGTAGAGACAAGCGCATCAGAATTTCAAGGTCATCCTTGTAGGCTGGCCTGCATGAGATTTTTGCCACTTTCCTCTTCCAACGTGTGCTATATATACATGTAGTAGAGTCATGCAAATGTGCCACTGATTTTAGCCGACCTAGTCCACAGAGCCCTCGTTTCGAGCTCTGGAATATGACTGAACAGCCCCTCATCTGACCTAAGGACACGAGTGGTTAAAAGCAGGCTGAAAAAGAGTGGATTATTCTGTCTTAGAGCTTGCCTCTTACTCTCACTGAGCTTCTCGTAAGACCAATCTGAAAGGGTCGACCCTCAGTAACTGGAGGATTAGCAAGCATTCACTGCGGGGCCTCATTAAAACCGCAGAGGGCCTGCGAAGCCGCCGCCGGAAGTCCCTCCGCGATGATGAGACACAACGGAAGTGGGCCCAGCGCAGCTCTCACTTGTATTGTCTCACTCCCGCTCGCCTACTTCTGGAAGGTAGGCGCCCTACAGCTCGCTGCGGCTGCGGCTGCGGCTGCAGCTGCAAGGGCTTCTCTGCGCAGGCTCAGTTGACAACGTCGTGTTCGACAGCTTTCGTCCTCTCACTTCCTCCCCAGTTTCCTGTGCCAGGACGTGACGCAGTCCCGACGCCTACGGGGGAGGAGCCTCGGGAGGAAAATCGTCGGAGCCTGGGTCTCGCGAGAACATTCCGTTCCTGCGCAGTTCTCGCGCTGCAGCTTTGCTCCTGTCGCAACGAGAGCCTTCGAGATCTTCTCCGCCTCCGCTACCGGCGACTCCTCTGCTGCCGCGGAGCCGGAGCCGGCCCCAGTGGCGGAGGCTCGTCTTCCTCAAGGACCCAAGCGTCCTCGTGGACGGTCGCCCGGCTTCGCCCGCCTATCCGCGACGCCCCGTCAGCCCACGCGGCTCGCCCTTTCCACGCGCAAGCCCCGCCGGGGTCCGTGTGCTGTGTCGGCGGCCGGCCCTGGGCCCGAGCCCGAGCAGTAGCCGGCGCCATGTCGGTGGTGGGCATAGACCTGGGCTTTCAGAGCTGCTATGTCGCTGTGGCCCGCGCCGGCGGCATCGAGACGATCGCTAACGAGTATAGCGACCGCTGCACGCCGTAAGTGTGGGCCTGGCCGGCGGGGTCGCCTCACTTTCCAGTTAAGGGTTCGCAGAAGACCCCTGCCGATTGCCGGGTCGCCCGTGGCTGCCACCTGCCTCGGAGGCTGGGCCTGCGTCAGGCGCGAGGCCTTTCCGCGGCCCAAACGAAGGCTTTGAGCCGGTAGTCTGGTCGGCGGAGGGCACGAGTAGGAACTGAAAGGGAAGGCAGGCCTGAGGCTGCACTCCTTTTGGGGGGCTGCACCTGAAACTAGGGCCCGGGGCTTGCTGAGCTTTGTTGAGCCTAACGGAGGTGGGGACTCTGCACACAGAAAGCGTTTAATAAAAGTTAACGAGTAGATTGTGGCCTCCGGACTGGGAAGCGGCTCGAGTCCCACGTGAGTGGGGGCGGGGAGGCGCCCGGAAGATGTGGAGTCTGAGCACTCAGCACGCCATTGGGGTAGCCGGTATACAAAACAAGAGGTTTAATAAAATTGATGATTTTCTTAAGAAATAACGTTTCAGCCCTCTTTTCCCAGTCGTTTCTGGATATCGAGCTAAGTTGGGTCTTTATACTCACCTCGTCCTTATGAGCATTGCACTTTAACATGCTAATGAGTTCCAGCCGGTTGCTGGCCACAATTGTTAATGCATGACTCAAAGGCTCACTTTGACTTCTAGAACTTACATGAAGTTATGGGACCAGTGTAGACAAATATCCCAAAAAGATGACTCATCCAGCCTTTCTTTTTTCTTGTTTTTGAGTAAAAGGGAGCCTACCTTTTCAATATATGTAGATAGATTTTTTTTTTTTACCCCCTTAAGGACAAATTCTCCCTATGTAGCCCCGGATGACATCGAATTCATTAATCCTGCCTTTATCTTCAGTTGTGTTAGAAAGTTAACTTTAATTTACTAAATTCCATTTCTACAAATTCTTGAAGAAGCTGTTATTTCTGGGTTCATTGTTCCATCTCGTTTTTAACCAGTTTACTGTGGTGGGTTTCTTGTAGCCCAGGCTGTCAGGTCATTTTGGGTCTGAGAATGACTTTGAACTCTTGATCCAACTACCTCCATCTCCCACGAATACAGGTATATACCTTAATATCCAGATGGGGATCGAACCTAGGGCTTCTGGCATACTAAACAAGCACTCTACCAACTAAGCTATTGCTGCTGGGTCCTCAAGTTTTTAGTGTTACAAAGCTCTGGGACCATTGTCAAAATCAAACATTTTGCTCACTCTCCCTACATTGCCTGTCAAGCTCTATTCCCATTTGTATTTTTTTTTTTTTTTTCATACAGGGTTTCCCTGTAGCCCTGGTTGTCCTATTATAGACAGGCTGTCACTATTATAGACAGGATGGCCTGGAGATCTGCCTGCCTCTGCCTCCCCTATTTGCCATTTTAAAACTAGGCATTCTGACTTGTGTTTTCTACAGAGGTATATCATGTACTGCTTTTTGAAAAGTATTAAAATTTTGCTTCTAGGCATTTTAGCATTAATTTCCTATTAGATAATGCTTTTTCTGAGCTCTTACTTTAGATCTAAAAGTCATGTTCCTAAAGGAAAACTGGCTTCAGAGTCTGGCTTCTTGGGCCTCACCTGCCTAGAATTAAATACTTTAGCTGGGGGAGGAGAGACATGACCTAAGGAGCCTGAGGCTTGGGGAGCTGTGCTATCTTTCTTTTAGATTACTTTAACCTGTTAACCTCTTAGCAGCTGTGGCAGAAGTTTTGTCATGAATTTAATTATTTGAAACTTTAGTTTTCCTGATGGCAATTACATTTGCATAAAGACTGAAAGGGTGATAGACCATGTGATTGTGGTAAGGTATCACAGAGAACCCTTTGTTTCCCATAGATTTTCCTTCATAGCCACACAGGCAATTCCTTTTCCTCCCCTCCCTCTCCCTCCCCATCCCCCTTCCTTCCCTCCCTCCCCTCCCCTCCCTCTCCCTCCCCATCCCTCTTCCTTCCTTCCCTCCCTCTCTTTCCTCCCTCTGGAGAGGAGGGACAGGGTCTATCTACGTAGCTCTATTTGTTCTGGAACTCTGGACCAGACTGGCCTCAAACTCAACAGCAATCTACCTTCCTCTGCCTCCTTAGTGCTGGGATTAAATGTGTGCATGCACCACCACACCCAGCTGTAATTTCTTTGTGAGATCTCAGTGTTAGGCTAACTTTGAAGGAAATGCAGAACTTCAGATTCCTGAGTGCTGGAATCCTAGGTGTGCACCCCCCATGCTTAGCTTCATTTAAGTACTCTGTTATGCATTTGATTTACAGATTTCTGTGCTGAAGGCTTGACCTAACAATGGGAGCAGAAAGTGCAGTGCCTTTTCTTCAGGTTGTGAAGAAGGATTTAGATCTCATAAGTATGCAGACTGTTGCAACTTTGTTGTAATGTAAAAGCATAAAGTTACAGGTCTCAGTGGTCTGTCTGAGAGATATACCTCATTTTCTGTCTAACACTTTCCATTGATTCTACAAAGGCAGTTGAAGTTTTATATATGTACTTCATTTCATATTGGGTTTTGCTTGAGCCAGGGGAGTAGCCAGATCTTTGCATTTTCCCCTCTATTTTAGCAGATTCACACACAGTGTGACTATGGTGGTTATGTGTTAAGTATGGGAGATACTGTGATGGACAACAAAATACCCAGTCTTGCCATCATGGGCATGGTAATGGAAAAAGCCACATGCTAAACAAGAGCATACAGTTACTATCTGGTAAAGAACAAGATGGAAAAGTACAGAATACAATGAGTATAACAGACATAACTGGTTATGGGCTGGAGTTGGAGGGTGCTCCCAAAAATGTCATTTTTGACCTGGAAGGTGGGTAGGAGTTTACAAGGAGGCCTTGGGCTTGAGGAAGACTCTTCCAGTAGATAGAAGACCTGAGGCGAGCAGAGCTTGATAGATTGAGGGATGACGGTTCAGCCTTGGGGGATTATTAAACTTTTTCATGTAGGTACAATGGAAAGTGATCCAGCTTTTGAAAATGTGATTGGCAGCCTGTTGTGGGCTAGGCAGAATCCTGAGGATCTCTAGCCTGGTCTGTAGAACTTGTTCCAGGATTGTCATGGCTACACAGAAAGGGGAGAAATGTATCTCTCCAGTAAATATGAGGTTTTATTTAATTAATTTTATTGTTTCTCTATGGAAATAGTCCTGGCTGTCCAGGATCTTTGTAGACCAGGCTGGCCTCGAACTCACTGAGATCCCCTGGCTCTGTCTCCCAAGTGCCAACATGTGAGCCAACGCTGACTAAGTGAGGTTTGGTATGAGCGCACATGCTTTGGCTTGCCTGAGGTCAAAGGACAACTTGGAGGAGTTCCCTCTGCCTTAATGTTGCCCAGTATTGAACTGTGTATGTAGCCAAGAATGACCTTGAGTTCCTTGAGTTTTTGATTTTATAGCTTCCACTGAGTGCAAGGATTACAGGCCTTTTTCTTGACTTGGTGCATAGAATAGTAGTATAGTACCAGAATATTTGCCTTAGTAGTATAGTGACAGATTATTTGCCAATAGGCTGTTCTTTTGTATTTCCCTCTCTCGTTGGAGACAGGGTCTTGCTGTGTTGTTCAGGCAGCCCTGGGCTCAAATTAATGATGCCTCAGCTTCCTGAGCACTGATACAGGCATGAGCTGCTGTACTTGACTTGGACCTTTGGTATTTTTTGATTAATTTTCTATTAACTATATTATAATAACACTAAAATCTGGAAATTTGTGCACAGTTTATATATTTTTAATGTGTATAGGTGTTTTGCCTGCTTATGTCTGCACCACAGTGCAGTGCCTTTCTGATTACCTAGAACTGGAGTTAGAAACAGTTCTGAGCCACTATGTGGGTACTTGGAACCAGACCTGGGTCCTCATCAAGAGCAGCAAGTGCTCTCAATTGCAGAGCCATCTCTCCAGACCCCCTTAATTTTTTATTTGTGTGTCTTTATATGTGCACTTTAGAGGTTGGCTGTTTATAAGAACTTGTATTGAATGAGTTTTTGATTTACAGAATTACCATGATCAAGTGTAAATAATTTTTAAGAAAGTCTGTTTTCAGAGCAATTAATACTTTCTTTTTCTTTCTCAGACAGGATTTCTCAGTGTAGCCTTGGCTGTCCTAGAATTTACTCTGTAGACCAGGCTGGCTTAGAACTCACAGAGGTCTGCCTGCCTCTGCCTATAGAGTACTGGGATTAAAGGTGTTTGCCACCACCACCCGGCAGTTATACTTTTGTATGAAACCTAGTCTGTGACTTTTGAATCTGTAATAGCTGGTATTATTTATGGTCTGCCAGTCTGTGACATGAGCCCTTTAGAAGTTGATAATCAAATTTAATCTTTAGCAATGCAGTGAGATAGATTGTTTAATCCCCCCCATCAGATAAGTACGTTGCATTTCAGATAAGCAGCAGGAGTTACCCAGTTAGAAAGAAGCCCATAGTGCTTCTTGTTTTTTCTTGTTCAACTTACCCATATTGATAGCAGAGTGGAATTGATGCAGGTCTCAGTCCCTGGTGTTGGTATAGAACTTCTAGAACACGAGAGTTCATGGAGTACTGTGTTAGGATTCCATCTGATACAGTAAGAGATGTGTGCAATGCTCACTGAGTTTAGACTTAAGGGTTAACTTAATTATTGTATCATGTGGCCGAGGAGGGGTGTTCCCATTAGTGACATGCTTTTTAAGATGGTGAGGACTGTTCTCATTGTGTGTCTGCATATATCAAAGAAAAGATTGAATAACTCAAACTATGAAAGGCATTTTAAAAAATTAAAAATTTCCAAAATTGTACTGGATAGTAGTGTACTTTCCCAGCACTTGGGAGGCAGAGGCAGGTAGATATCTCTGAGTTCAAGGCCAGGCTGGTCTACAGAGTGAGTTTCAGGACAGTCAGAACTATACAGTGAAAACCTGCCTCCAGAAAAAAGGAAAAATATTAAAAGTTGAATTGGCGAGGTTTGGTGGCATAAACCTTTATGGGCAGAGGCAGGTGGATCTGTGTTTGAAATTAGTTTGATACGGTTACAAGCCAGCCAGAGCTGCATAGTGAGACCTGTCTCAACAACAAAAACCCCAACCACCGAAAACAACTAAACCTTGCATTTATTTATACAGTTTGTGTGTGTGTGCTTTAGCAAGAATGTGGAGGTTGACTTAACGGCACCAATTTTCTTCTGTCGTTTGGTTCTGGGGTTGCACTCAGGTTTGGTAGCAAGTGTATTACCAGCTGACTTTTCATCCTGTGTGAAAGATGTTCTTTTTTGTTCTTGGAGGTATATGTTAACCTTAATACTATTAAGGCAGATACTGAGTTTAAAGGAATCATGAACCCATTTAAGGAAACTTTAATGTACAGAACAATATTTCAGGGATCCAATGCTGGCTTCTGAGAGCACCACCAGGAACATTGGTGGTGCACAGATGTACATCCAGGTAAAACACGCACATAAATAAAATAAATTTAAAAAAAGAACACTCCATGTTATCCAAAGTGTTCTGTATCAGATGTCCAGAACAGTAGCCACAGGCCACACCTAGACATTGAATTCTTGAAATGTGGGCAGTGGAGTCTGAAGAACTGAGTTTTACATATTAAAGTTAAATAAATAAAATTCAGATAGTCTTCTGTGGCTAGAGGCTGCATTGTTGGAAAGTATGTACCTGTAACCCTGTGATATAAGTCACGATATGTTGTGATTTAAACTTCACTGGCCTTGAACGCACCATCCACCTGCCCCTACTCCAGAGCACTAGGATTAAAGGTGGGTGCTTCCACGTTTGGCTTGTTAAAGGTTTTTGCATTGAGACATGGTAGACATGTCAGAATTGATAATAAGCTTCTTGTATATTTATGCATGTACTGCACATGTGTGTGTGCCTGCTTGTGTGTCCTTGGAAGTACATGGTAGTGTTCAAGTTGCAGTTAATAACCTAATTGTTGATTTTAGAGTCACTCAAGTTGTGATTTACAGATTGTAAAATAGTCTTTTAGAGCAGGAAGCAAACATTAAAAGTCAAAGTTGGGTTAGTCATTATTATGTAAATTAATCCAAGTCCTCTAGGTTAAGAGGTAAAAATGAATTTACTTGGAATTGTGAAGTGGATTGGGACAGTTTTACTAAGCAGGTGTTCCAGGTGACAGCTGAAGGTTCAGTACATTGTAGGTGGCAAAAGCAGATTGTTAGTAAAGTGGGAAGATTGAGAGGCTTTATAGGGATAATTGTATTGGGGTCACTATGCATGGTTGTAGGGGTTGGCAAAAGGCTTTAGATCTCATATGTAGGAGTGTGAAGTATGTTTGCAAGCAATTGGTTTTGTTTGGAGGGTAACAAAGCCATCCTGCTTCAAAGTTACTGAGTAGAATAAAAAAATTATGCTGGGTGGTGGTGGCTCACACCTTTAATCCCAGCATTCTGGAGGTCAGCCTGGTGTACAGAGTGAATTCCGGAATAGCCAGGACTACACAAAAAAATCATGTCTTGAACCCCTCCCCCATTAGCTGTGCGAACATTGCCCTTTTTTAGACATAGTAATACTTTAAACAACTATTCTTTGACAATTTTATTATGTGTATATACAATGTATTTTGAAGGTGATTGCCTCTACTTCCTTCTTACTCTGCCTAGGTTCCTGTTCCCCATATTCTCCTAACCCAACTTCACCCTCCGCCCTCATAAACCATAGACTAAATGCTGCTGCCCATATATGCTTAAAGCATTGCCAGTGCTCCTTCAATTAAATGGTTACTGGTTCTTCCCCCTCCTATAACTTGGACCCAAGACCTCATGTGACCTCAGATATTCTGGTCAAGTCTATACTGAGCTGCATCCTCAGCTAATTTATTCCTTGACAGTTTCATACAGGCATATAATATATTCTGGTCACACTTGCCTTCTCCACCCTTATTGACTTAACACTTTTAAGGTTGGAGTTTGAACAAAGGGCTATGGGAAAGATGAGTAACACTGTCTTATGTTGGCACTTTAGTCTTGTAGCTCAGAAATCTGATCTGGTGATTTGTAGAAAGGTGGAAGTTTGCCATGGGTTAGGCGGGTCAACCTTTTTGGAGTATGGTTACTGGGGTATGTTTGTGTGAGCTATTTTTAAAGGGCAGTGTGGCCTGTGATTTAAATGGTACTTAGTCATTTTTTCTTTTTCATTACTGGTAGCTATTTTTGATCATGTCATCTGCTTTTTAAAAAGGGACTACTTTTATTTAGGCTTAAACAAAGAACTCAAGAATCAGAAGCTCACAGAGATCTCAGGCTCTGTCTTTGCCATGAGACAGTATAGTGTATAGAGTACTGTAACTCTTGAAGAAGGGCATATAGGGTTTTTGCATTTGAAGCCCAGGGAGGCCTGGTATTCCAGCCTCCCCTCTCCCCTTTTAATATAACTTAATTTTTTTTTTTTTAAATTTGGCTGGTTGTTGGTGTATGCCTTTAATCCCAGCAGAGGGAGCCAGAGGCAGGTGGATCTCTAGGAGTTTGAGGCCAGCTTGGTCTACAGAATGAATTCCAGGATAGCCAACTTTTTAAATGTGTTTATTTTTGTGCATGTGCAGATGCAGGGTGCTATGCTTGGTGGCACCTCTAGGGCTCTTTAATTTTTAGTCTGCTGAATTGGAAGATTCAAATCAGTGTTCAAGAGGATAGAGAGGGTCAAAGCTGGAGTATGAATTACAGAGATATGATCTGGAGTTGAGTCCATCACTTTCAGATCCTAGATAAATCAACTTACTAATGACCATTTCATACTTGGTTTCCTCTATGGCAAATGGTAAGATAGGACGCTTCTGAGGGTAAATGGTATAATAAAAAAAGCAAATACAATAGAGTCACTGTTAACCGAAGTAGAAGGAAGAGAAAAGCCAGTTACTGGAAAGGGAAATGATATAAAGAGAATATGACCTGGTTCTAGGTGTGTTAGGTTACAAAAACAAGTCTAGATAGCAAAAGCTCCTTAGTAGCCTAGTTTCTACCCCCCCCCCCTTTTTTTTTGGTTTCTTGTGGCTTTGGAGGTGTCCTGGAACTAGCTCTTGTAGACCAGGCTGGTCTGGAACTCAAACAGAGATCCACCTGCTTTTGCCTCCCAAATGCTGGGACTAATGGCGTGAGCCATCACCACCCGGCCAAGCAGCCTACTTTTTAAGTGTAAAATAGTGCTTTCTTTGAAGCCTACAAACAGGTTCTCTTTCGGGTTTTTAAAAAAGCAGCAAAGGGGAATGGAGTGAAGACTCAGTGTTTTAATAAGAGCACACACTGTTCTTTAAATTCCCATCTTCAGGGGCTCTGACATCCTTTTGTTCTCACTAATAAGGAAATATATATGTAATGTGTGTATGTGTAAATAATTTTTAAAAAGTAGCTCAATCTGGTATATGTACAATGATTTGATAAAGTGTTCAGAGGTGGAGATGAAGATTCTTGGCAGTACTGAGTCTGGAAGCTAGTTCTAAATAATTTTCTGTTCACATGAATAGGACAAGGTTGTTTATTTATTTATTTATTTATTTTATTTTATATGTATGAGTGTTAGGTCCACATGTCTGTCTGTGCATCACTTCCATACCTGGTACCTTCTGGGGTTAGAAAAGGGCAACAGGTCCTTTGGAAGTGGAGTTATAGGTGGTTGAAAACCACAGTGTTTATGCTGGGACCAGAGTGCCTGTGTCCTCTGGAAGAACAGGAAATGCTGTTAACCACTGGGCGCTGTCCAGTCTTGAGTTGTTTTAAGACTATATTAATTTTGAAATTAAGCTGTGTTAAAACAAGACTGATTAAAAGTGCTATGGAATTACATTGAACATGAGATGTGGAAGGTGAGGGTGTTTGGTCTTGTCCCATCTATCTCTGTAGTATTTTGGACAGGTGGTTATGAAATCAGACCTGTGATCCAACAGTCTTTAAATGACATGATTCAGTCTGTTTCGTGAACAGTTTTTATGTAATAGATATGGTAAAATCATAGACACATCTTGTGAAGTTAAAATATATGACTTACGCTTGGAATTATATGCTGTCAACACTATCTGGACTCAGCAGGTTGTATTTGTGTGTGTTAAAAATAAATAAAAAGATGCCATGAATTTAAGAGGAGTGGGGGACATGGGAAGGGTTAGAAGGGGGAAGTGATATAATTATAGTTTAATTTTAAAAATTCAAGAAATACATGGCTTTTGGTGATACTCAGAAATCTTGCCTGCTGGGGTTTCGGCTATGTTATGATAAAGTCTGATTCCTGAATGTTGGTTTTTGTCTTCTAGGGCTTGTGTTTCTTTTGGTCCTAAGAATCGTTCAGTTGGAGCAGCAGCTAAGAGCCAGGTACAGTGCCCATTTTCCCTCCTAAAATGACTAAGCACTAGAGCCCTCTTTTTAGGGAAATGAAATTTTTATATAATATGTTTGATGCAAATTGCTACTGTATGTTGCCTGAATATTTTTATTCTTTTTTTTGTTGAGGTAGGGTCTTACATGTCCCAGGTTCCTTTAGAACGTCCTTTGTAGCTCAGGCTGGCCTTAAACTCAACATCTTCTTGTTCCAGCTTCCCATGCATGTGCTATGTGCTAGCACAGTCAGTCTTAATCTTTGGTGTTTGAAATAACCTTCCCCCCTTTTCCTTTTTTTTTTGCGGGGGAATGGGGGGGATGACGATGACTGGGTTTCTCTGTGTAACAGCCCTGGCTGTCCTGGAACTCACTTTGTAGACCAGGCTGGACTCCAACTCACAGAGATTCACCTAACTCTGTCTTCCACGTGCCAGGATGAAAGGTGAGTGCCTACACCACCTGTAACGAGTACAGGTTTTTCCGCCTGCCGCCGCCTGGTCTTGTCCTGCCGCCACGCCAGCCCTAAATAACACACTGAGACTCTGTATTTGATATTATACTGTTGGCCAGTTACTACTTTCTTATCGGCTAGCTCTGCCTTAAGTATTAACCCAATTCTGCTGATCTATGTATTTCTCTTACTGGGGAGCCGGCGGCATACTGCTTTCTTCAGACTCTCCATCTTGACTCCTCCTATTTCCTCCTTGTCTCCTAGTCCCTCCTATCTTCCTTTCCTATTGGCCAACAGTGCTTTATTATTAACCAGTATGAGAAACATATATACATAATGGCATCTCCCATCAACCACCAGACTCTTGGAATGCTTTTTGAAGTCTGTTCTGTTGGGCCTTTCATCTTCGTGTTAAAGGTTATTGTGGTTCAGGTTCCACACGAAAGAACACTAGAACTGTGGAGAGCTTGATATGTTTGCGTATTTCTGAGTAACTAGAGCAACAAAAACTCATAGAATCCATTACTCTGAATGTCTGAGATATCTGTAGAGTTAAGGAGTTGCATATTTAATCTTGTTACTGTTCAGTCTGGAACAACAAATGCATGAATAGCTTTTTGGACCACGTAGGACCTAAAATGAGCCTAAGATGATGATTCTGGGGCTTGGGAAATGGCTTATTGGCTAAAGTACTTCTCTCAGAAAGTAAGGTGGAAAATAGTAGAGGAAGAAACCTGATATTGACTTTATTATGTACACACAAAATAAAGCAGTTTCTTGACCAGGGAAGGATCTCAGTTGGTAATGTGCTTGAGGTCTCTATGTTCAGTCTGTTAGGAGCCTTCTTTCCCCACCAGCCTGGTCCCAGAGCTGTGTCAGTCCCAGAATAACACACAGAGACTCTTATTAGTTATAAAGCTGTTGGCCAGTGACTAGGGCTTCTTATTTACCAATATCTGTCAATATGTATTGCCACGAGGCTGTGACTTACCCAGATGTCCGACTTGGTGTTATTCCTCCAGCATCCTACATTTCAACTGTTCTCTGCCTACACTTCCCAGAATTCTCCTTGTCTCCTAGTCCTGCCAATCATCCTGCCTCATTGGCCACAGTGCTTTATTCATCAACCAATAAGAGAAACGTGTACAGAAAGACATCCCCACCATCAGTTTGTACGTAGCACTACATAAAACAGACACTTGAGTGGTGGAGTGTCTTAACACCATTATCTAAAAGCAAATTATGGAGGAAATGGTTTATTGAGCTTACACTTCTGCATTGCTGTTTGTTGATAAATGAAGTCAGGACAGGAACTAAAGAGGGCAGGAACCTCGAGGCAGTAGTTGATGCAGAGGCTGTGGAAGAGTGCTACTTACTGGCTTGTTCTACTCGGCTTGCTCAGACTGCTTTCTTAAAGAATTCAGGACCACCAGCTTAGGGATGGCACCATCTAAAACGTGCTGGGCCTTCTCCTGTTGATCACTGGATCTTATGAACGTATTTTCTCAATCTGAAGACTCTAGCTTGTGTCAAATTGATACAAACCAGATAGTACATGGAGGGAGGGGACTACCATGTTAAGTTTATTGGCTATATAACAAGTTGAAGGCCAGCCTGGCATAAACGAGAAGAGACCCTATCCAAAGAAAAGTGGTGCTTTGTTAGTTAGCTTTTTTACTTGAGTGTTTTATAGACTTAATTTGTGGAGTGTTGTGGATAATTTTGGAGGCATTTGATAACGAAATTATGCTTACTTAGAAATGGTTGTTTTATAAATGTCTATTTGTTTGAAACTGCTTTTCCTACTGAATATAGTTACTATATTATGCTGGCTGCCTGGTTCTGTGCTGATTGTTGATTGTGATATACTGAGTTCCTCAGGCCAGGCCTGACTTTGGAGGCCTCACTGGTTTGGCCTAGATAGAGAGGAGTTTGTATAAAGAGCTTTTCCTGTTTGTGCAGGCTCCTTAAATCCTGGACTGAGTAGGAGCACATATTCTGGAAGCTAAAATGTTCACCACAGTTCCCTGTTAGTTACTGTCTATTTTAGAGGAATTAGAAAAGTATAGGGAATGTGGAAGTCACTGCTTAAACCATTATGTAGATAAATGACTGTTATCTATCATTCTTTGAATTAAACCTGGGATCTGTGTGTATACTCTTCCATTCATCTGTGTCCCCAGCTCACCACTACTGTTTTAATAAATAGTCCTTTTGTTCTTTGTAAGCATCTAAGTGTGTTTTCTTTCCTTCAGTGAGCTCATTCTACACAGATACTTGTCTTCTCACTTAAAAGTTTTACCCTTATGTAGTATTTCAGTATTTGGACACAAGATAATCTATTTCACATTTCCTGTTATATAAGAATAGTCACACTCTCCCAATAGTCATTGTTCTGTATGTGTACTCTATAGTAAATTTGATGGGGCCGTGCGTGCACTGTGCACATGAATACACTGTATACATGCCAGGTGTGTTGTTTGTCTTACTGCATCTCCAGTCCTATGGTAAGTCTGTTTAATGAGAATTTATGAATTAATAAGTATTGATGAATTTGTTCCTGGAAAAAAAAACCATAAACTCTAAGCAGTATTAGAACCTGATAGTCATTTTCTGTAAATATTAAAAATTTAGGAACAGGGAATATTTTTGGTAAGTACAGTGGCCTGACATGAAGAGGAAAACTGCCCTGCCACTGAGACCCATGTAAATCCCTTGTTCTCAATTTACCTGATTTAGAAGGTTGAATCTCTAAAGAAAATTGAAACTTGGAAGGATATGTGTGTGTGTGTGTGTGTGTGTGTGTCTGGGTCCCCCCCCCCCCCCCCATCTTTTTTAGTTTATTGAGACAGGGCTTCTCTTGAATAGTGCTGGCTGTTCTGGAACTAGCTCTGTAGACCAGACTGACATTGAACTCAAATCGACCTGCCTCTACCTCCCAATTGCAAGGATTAAAGGCATGCACCACCTGGCTTTTCTACCACACCATCTTAACTTCTCTTTTTCATGTGAGCATTTATGAGATTTTTACAGAAAGACATATTAGATGGGTTAGTGAAGTAGTTAGACATGTTCTTGTGACCTAGGGCAAAGAGTTTTACCAGGAGTACATGGTTAGAAATGGAAATAGGACAGTTTATTAAGAAAGGGAAAGTACTCATGAGAATGAGAGTAGGCTAGGCAACTTAGGGTAAAGCATACCTTAAAAGTGTATTGGCATGTGCGTTTCTCACTTGTGGGTGATGTTTTTGCTTTTTGCTCCCAAATGTTGGAATTGCAGTCATGTTCCACAGTGCCTGGCTTTAGAAGGAAATTTTGTGAGTTAAAAGAATTCTAACTAATCTGAGGCTGTTGAAATTTGGAAACTGAATGGTCTTTCTTGCTAATTTTCTCTTCTAGGTAATTTCCAACGCCAAGAATACAGTTCAAGGCTTTAAAAGATTTCATGGGCGTGCATTCTCTGATCCATTTGTGGAGGCTGAAAAGTCTAATCTTGCATACGATGTTGTGCAGTTGCCCACTGGATTAACAGGCATAAAGGTAAGGTTCTGCAGATAATTGTTAAGAGAATTTTGTCTGTCAGCTCATGTGTGTCAATGTTTTGATGAAGCTGTAATGAAACACTGTTGTGTTGTGTCACACCATTCCCCCAACTCCCCCTCCCCCCTTTCCTCGATTCCCTGACAGGGTTTCTCTATGTAGCTTTGGCTATCCTATAACTCATTCTGTAGGCCAGGTTGGCCTCGAACTCATAGAAATCTGTTTTCTTTTGCTGCCGCCCCCCCCCCCCCCAATTAAAGTTGTGCACCACCACTTCCTGGCAAAACATTGTATGTACCTGGAGCTCTCAGTCCAGAAGAGGGTGTTGGATTCCTCTCTCCCCGGGTGGAGGGGTCCAGGAAACTGGAATTACAGATAGTTTTGTGGGTACTGAGAATGAACTCCTTCCTGTCCTTGGAAGAGCAGCCAATGCTCTTTAACCACTGAGCCATCTCTCTGGACCTTGTTTTGAAAATATTTAAGAACATTTCTTGACTGTGTTGGTTTGGGAGGGGAGCTATTGATGGTGCTCTTCTCTTGTCTGCTTTGGGGGCCTGGGGAGTGACATTAACTCAGTCACTTTTGTTTGTGGCGTTCACAGAGAGCTGCCTTTCCAGGGTGATGTTAGAGAGAAGACTTGTGGTGGAAGAGCAGGCCAAAGTATAACTTTAAAGCCTGGTACATGGCTGTAGTCATGGCAGCACTGAAGGTGCAGAGATGTTTTAGGGAAGAATGAATTTGATCTTTGTCTTTGGAACAAGTATAGAAGAATCTTTGTGGAACAGTAGTGATCCTGTCACATAACACTGAGAAGTTGGGATGTGGGCTGGGTAACATACCTGCATCTCCTACAGTCAGGGTATAAAAGGAATCTAAGCAAGTGAGCTTTAGAGCTGGTATTTGATATACTATTCTTTTTTTTTTTTTTTTCCTTTTGAGACAAGGTTTCTCTGTAGCTTTGGAGCCTGTCCTGGAGCTCTGTAGACCAGGCTGGCCTCAAAACTCAAAGAGATCTGCTTGCCTCTGTCTCCTGAGTGCTGGGATTTAAAGGCGTGTACCACCAATGCCCAGCACGTTTTTGTTTTTTGAGACAAGGTCTTACTCTGTAGCCTAGGCTAGCCTTGGTCTCCTCTGAGTGCTGGGATTACAGGTATTAGCCACCATCCTCAGCTAGGTGTGGTATTTAAGACCATGCCAGTTGTAGAAAAAGAACTATGTGATTCTTACTGAGACTGAATTGGGGCTGGGAGTATAGCTCAGTATCATTCCAATTTATAAGGTCTAGATTCAATGTTAGTACCATAAAAGAAACAAAAACGATATCAAATAGTGTGAAGTGAGAACAGTATGGTCTGGCACTGTAGCAGAGAATTCACATTAGGAGAGAAAGGTTCCCTTAAAGAATAATCAGGCACCAGGTGGTTCAGTGGGTAAAGGTGCTGTCACTAAGATTTACAGTGATGAACAGTCCTGAAAGTTGCCCTCTGGGTGACCCCTCTGTACATTTAAAAATGATGACTAGGCTTATTTAAAGTACCTGTGTCAGTAATCTCAGAAGAGTTTGAATGCTCACTGAGGGGTGAGGCTAGAATTTAGTAGAGGGAAAGGTTTTATGAGAAAATGGGGACTTGTTAAATCATGAAGCAGGACAGATAGGCCAGAGAAAGGAAGACCTTGGGGACAAAGCATGGACAAAACTGACCAAGTGCCAAGCAGAAAGTCAGTATGTGGGGCAGGCTACAAAGGGGCCTGTGAGAGAGTCTGTCTGTCTCTCATGATATAAAGTGAGCAAGTGTCAGCTTCTGCACAGAATTAGGATTGGAGGTAAGCAAGGTGATGGTTACTCAGACAAGCTCCTCGCCAAGCTGAGGGAGGGCCTATTCTGGATAGTAACTTCCTGGGGATGGGTTATCTTGCAATGCTGGAACATTCAGCTTGCTGTTCTTCGAAGGGCTGCAGACTTTATCCAGGGCAGAGCTTTATCATGAAATGTTTCCAGAGACTTGGTCAACATGTATTCTTTAACATAACATGCATTTATTGTGGCTGTGTAGGTTCTGGGGCATAATGATTTCAAAAGTACTTGTGTCCTGGTGGGGAGATGAATAATGTAGAATCACTGTAGGGTCCATGGTCCACATAGTATGCCAAGTGGCAAATCAGTTTCTACCAGCAGTCCTTTTATGGCAGGGCAGGATGTCGCCTCAAGGTTTGCTTTAGGTTGTGGTTGTTTGAAAAGTAAGTTAAACAAAATGGTGACTTTGTAAAGACAGCATTCTCCAGTGCGCCTCTTGCGGCACTATTCCCCATTGATTAGGACTAAAATTAGATCCTTTTGTCTTCTTGCAGGTTACATATATGGAAGAAGAGCGGAATTTTACCACTGAGCAAGTGACTGCTATGCTTTTGTCCAAATTGAAGGAGACAGCAGAAAGTGTTCTTAAGAAGCCTGTGGTAGACTGTGTTGTGTCGGTGAGTATGGCTCTGTGGTTTTAGGAAACTGTCTTAAAAGTAGGGAGAAGAAAGCTGTTAATTGCAAGTAAAAATTGTGTCAGGTTGTAGTTGTAATTTTGGAAAGTTAGTATTTTTTGAGACAGGATCTCACTGTGCAGTCTGGTCTGGCCTGTAAGTTTGCTATGTAGACCAGACTGGTCTTCCATTTGGTGGCTGGTCTTCCATTTTGTTGTTATTTTCTTCTCTGTACCTCTTGGTCTATGCTGAAATTCAGGCATGGCCCAGCTTGCCTGGCTAAGAGGAAAGGAATCATCAGCCTACCCACTCACCCAATCTGAGCCAACTGAGAGCTCTGTTGTACCCATTTAAATCTTGTCTGTCATTCAAGCCTCATTTGAAACCTCATTTTTCTTTTTTTTTTTTTTTTTTTTTAGTACCTAGTGTAGTGCATAGGGACAGGATAGCTAGTACTAAAAACACTTGCCTCTGTGTGTCCTTATTTAGATGGGAGCCTGGCTACTTCTAGTAGTCTTATATGTATTATATACTGGGCCTAGAGGCTGTTGAAGTGTAGGTGTCTATATTGTCTTTGCCATATAGTGCCCTCATTCTGCCATTGTTACTTCATTGCCCTAGTTAGGGTTACTGTTGCTGTGACGAAACAACATGATTAGAAGCAACTTGGAGAAAAGGGTTTATTTGGCTTAACCTTCCACATCACTTTTGATCATCGAAGAAGTCAGAACAGGAACTCAAACAGGGCAGGAACCTGGAGGTAGCTGATTGTCAAGGCCACAGAAGATCTATTTACTGGCTTGCCTCTCATGGCCTGTATTGCCTGCATTGTTGTAGAGCTCCAGGCCAACAGCCCAGTGGTGACCCAACCTACAATGGACTAGACCCTTCCCCATTAGTCATTAATAAAGAAAATACCTTACAGGCTTACCTATAACTCCCATCTTATGGAAGTATTTTCTTAGTTGAGGTTCCCTACTCTGAGATGACTTTATATGTATCAAGTTGACATGAAACTCTACCACACTGATGTTTTACTTCTTTGGCCATTTTGTCTTAATAGCAGATAGTCAGCACAGATTATGCTGCTTATATAAGTAATTTAGTACAGTCAGCTATTTTTAATTGGTTAAGGGGAAATTGCATCAACTTCTACATTATTTTTTTTGAGGCAGGGTCTGTTCATGTTAGTTTTAAACGTACTGACTTCAGAGCCTCCTAAGTGCTGGGATTACAGATACATGCCTCTACAATTAGCCTGAGGGAACTATTTATTAATCTAGTTCCTGGGTGTCATGCAAGGACCAACTTTTTGCAGGCCTTTGTAAAGAGACTGGTTTCTATTGTAGGTTCCTTGTTTTTATACTGATGCAGAACGCAGGTCAGTGATGGATGCCACACAGATTGCTGGTCTCAATTGCCTGCGGTTAATGAATGAAACAACTGCAGGTAAGAGGGATTAATGAATGAAACAGCCTCAGATGATTATTGTTAAATATTGAAGCTGGTTAACATTGAACACTGTGATGTTAATGTTCCACATGAACAAATTAATGCAGTGCTGATAAAGAAATTGATTCTGTTTCCCAATACAGTATACAGTGTAGATGGTTTCTGAGATACGAAACCTGTCTTTCTAATTGCTTAAGTGAATTTTAGCATTTAGGAGCTACTACATTCTACATTGAACTTACCTTTCCTTCCTCTTGTATAGTTGCCCTTGCGTATGGAATCTATAAACAAGATCTTCCTGCCTTAGAGGAGAAACCAAGAAATGTAGTTTTTGTAGACATGGGACATTCTGCCTATCAAGTTTCTGTATGTGCATTTAATAGAGGAAAACTGAAAGTAAGTATTTTTCCAGAGGACTGGAAATTAAAATGTGATTGTTACAAATTTTTGCCTGACAAATTAGATAGCCCCCCCCCCCCCATACATACAATGTAAGTTGATTGATTGTGAAGCTCCCTGAGCTGGATCTCAGGAGGTTGTGGGTCCAAACAAGTTGTATCCGGAGTTGATATAAAACAATAAAACCTTGAGCTGGGAATGGTGGCACACACTTTTAATCACAGGACTTGGAGGCAAAGGCAGGCTTGTTGTCTCTCTGAGTTACATGCCATCCTAGTCTACAGAGTGAGTTCCAGGACAGCCAGAGCTACACAGAGAGACCCTGTCTTTGTGGGGGATGTTGGAAAGTTATGTTTTACAGGCTTTGTTTCTTCACAGAAATGTTACTTAGCTTTTCTTCTTTTCTTTCTCTCTCTTTTTGTTTTTGGAGACAGGGTTTCTCTGTAGCTATAGAGCTAGTCCTGGAACTCATTCTGTCCTTGAACTCACAGATTGCCTGTCTCTACCTCCAAGTGCTGGGACTAAAGGCGTGTGCCACCACCGCCCAGCAAGCAAGCTTGTCATCTCCTAGATCTGCTTTGGGTCTAATACTTAAAAATTGTGCTACAGATTTGGGATACTGTCAGTGCAACTGTGCCGTACTTACATGGTACATAGAAACATGGTTGTGCTTAAAGACTTCTGCATCTCTCTGATAGCTGACTAGAGCGACACACCACCATTTTGTTAATAGTTTCTTGTTAATAGTTTCAGACTAGAAGTTGGTATATGTGTTTGGCCTTGATTGTGAAACTTATGTTGAATCAGATTGGTGGAAATCTTGGAGATATACAGCGGTTTCTACCATGGTAGGAGTTAGGAAACCCAAAGATGGTCTCTTTTCTGCATCTCCTGCATAATGTGTAAAATAGAGAGTATTTTTTTAATACTTTATTTTTATGTGCATTGATGTTCCATGGGTGTTGGGTCCCCTGAAACTGGAGTTAGAGACAGGTGTGAGCTGCTATATGGGTGCTGGAAATTGAACCTGGTTTAGTCAGTGCTCTTAACCCTGAACGCCTTATCTTTAGCTCCAGTAGAAAGTATTTTTTTTTTCTGCTCACGTTGTAGTTCAGGCTGGTCTGGATCTCACAGGCTTGTGGCAGTCATCTTGTCTCAGCCTCAGGAGGTTTTCATTAGTGGAGTGAACCATACCCTTTCAAGGTGTTTGCGTGTGTGTGTGTGTGTGTGTGTGTGTGTGTTCCCTTCAAAGAAAGAAAAAAATTTATTTAGTACATTGTCTGGGCAGTGATCAAAGGCCTTCCTGTTTCATAGTGTAATATTATTAACAAGGATTATGTGTTACATCCTATTTTCAGGCTTGATAAACACACTTCTAAACCATAACCCTTTAAAAAAAATGAGTATGTATCATGATAAACTTTAAGATTGGTTAACTGTTGGGTTATCTTTTTTTCCCCTGAAGGTTTTGGCGACAGCTTTTGATACAACACTGGGAGGCAGAAAATTTGATGAGGTGTTAGTAAATCACTTCTGTGAAGAATTTGGAAAGAAGTACAAGCTAGACATAAAATCTAAAATCCGTGCTTTATTACGACTGTCTCAAGAGTGTGAGAAACTCAAGAAATTGATGAGTGCGAATGCTTCAGACCTCCCTTTGAGCATTGAATGTTTTATGAATGATATTGATGTATCCGGAACTATGAATAGGTAACCATATTAATTCTTAATGTTAAATGAACTATGACTTTCCATTTTGTTTAACTGATTATTGAAGTCATGGTGGTTAAGGTGTTAAAAATTACAGATCATCTGGGACCCAGTTCTTATGTAAAGTTGGATCTGGTGGTTCTAGTAATGGAGACTGAAAGTTTAGTTGTGGTAATTTAAATGTTCCTGAAAGTCACTAGTTAACTTAAGTACGTATTAGACACAAATTACTAGTTTTAATAAAACTACTGAACCATGCTTTACTGCTTAAATAGGATAATTTTAGGCACCAATTAAAAAATAGTTCCTTGAGTAGTTCAGGATCATTTGAGGGCAATAGCCATTTTTGTACAACATGCAAGAATTCTGGGCAATTGACATTTAAGGCTATTTCAGAATCAGTGTTATTGTTTGATTGTGTTGCTTGGATGAGGGAGAGAGATGTTCTTTTGGCTGTGAAATCCATTGGTGGAATTCAGGCAAGACTGATGACTTGTTTGGGGAAGTGAGCTTGAGTGACCCTTCAAAAATTTGAGATGGTATTTATTGTTGACCATTGTCCAAGTTTGTTCTTCCTTACCCTTTTCTATTGCTTGGAAATTTCTTCTGTTGGCTTTTATAGTGTGTAGGGGCATCTTGTTCACTCTAGAATATGAGTGTGTGTGTGTGTGAGAGACAGAGAGACAGAGACTCCGAGATTGAGGGTAGGCCAATATGTTTCAGATAGTAGTCAAATGCTGTTCATAAGAGTGAAGTAGGGGTGTTTAGAATCGGATTTGCCTGTATGCTATTTTTAAAACGTTAATTTTTATGTATATGGGTGCTTTGCCTGCATATTTGTCTATGGACCATTTCTGTAGAGGCCAGAAGAGGATGTCTAATCTGTGGGAGTAGTAAAGACAGTATGATCCACATTGTGGGTGCTAGGAATTGAACCTGGGTCCTCTGGAAGAGTGGCCAGTGCTTTTAACTGCTGAACTATCTACTTCTATCCCTGAATGCTGCTTTGCAGGGGGGTGGGAGGAAGGGTTATTCTCCAAACCCACCCCTCCCCCAAAAGTAAAAAAGATCAGGTTAGAAACAGACTATTTTAGACTCTTATAGCTTTCATTTTTAAACCTTGAGATAACTATATATTTTTGAAATGAATGCGATTAGATTACTTTCAGCAATATTCAGTATATTCTGAATTAATTTTGTCTTTAGTTAAAGAAAAATGGTAAAGGCTAAAGATGTGGCTCAGAGTGCTTGGCCAGCATTCCTGAAACTCTAGGTTTGTATACCAGCACCACATAATAGGCCGATAAATTTGGGGGCCAGAAGTCCAACTCAGGCTAGAGAGATGACTGGACAAGTAACAGCAATTACAATCAAGGCCTTGTGACTGGAGTTCAATCTTTAGGATCCACATGGTAGAAGGAGAGAACCTTCACGTTTGTGCCACACAAATGTAAACACATCCATTAAATGTAAACACACATTAAAACGCAGTAAAAAGTTCAAGGTCATCCTTAGCGATATAGTTTGAGGTCAGCGTGGTCTCCATAAGAAATTGCTATCATAAACCTGTCATTTCCTTGAAACTTGGAGTGATCAAACACAGGCAGATCTGCTGCACAGGGTAGGTCCTTGTGCAGTGTTAACTTCATTTAATCATCTGGGTAGGTGTGGTGCCTCCAGGTGTTAAGTCAGCCAGCTGCTTGGATGTGCACTATCAAATGAGGTTGAAGCCAGCCAGCATGAGGCTTGTATCAAAAGAGAGAGGGAGAGGGAGAGGGAGAGGGAGAGAGAGAGAGAGAGAGAGAGAGAGAGAGAGAGAGAGAGAGAGAGAGAGAGAGAGAGAAGTTTGTGGCCAGCCTGGTCTACAGAGTTAGTTTCAGGACAGGCAGAACTCAACCCCCACCCCATCAATTTTTGCCCCCCCCCCCCAGAGTTCGTAAGTGCTTCTTGGTTCCAGTTCAGATTTAATCTCCACGCATCACAGCACTGGAACTATGAATATTTATGGCTGTGTGTTTTTCGTGGTGGTTTTGAGGCTAATTCATGAGGAACTATGCACCATTACATTGTTGCCTCTTCTGACAAATGGTATCAGATTGTATGGCTATACCATGTATCCTTTATCCACTAGTTCATGAACATTCACCTTTAGCTATGGTGTGAGTAGCTAGGTGGGCTTTTGTGAACAGGTGCTTGAGTATTTTCAGTTCTTTTAGGTGCACACCTAGGAGTGGAATTGTTGGCTCATCTGGCAGTTCTTTTTTGTTTTTTCGAGACAGGGTTTCTCTGTACTGCTTTGGAGCCTATCCTGGAACTAGCTCTGTAGACCAGGCTGGCTTTAACTTAGGCATGCATCTGCATCTGCCTCCCCAGTGCTGGGATTAAAGCATTCGTCACCATGCCAGGCTCATTTGGCAGTTCTTAAGACCTTTTTTTTTTTTTTTTCCTTCCTGGAGACAGGGTTTTTCTGTGTAATAGGCCTAGCTGTCCTGAAACTTGCTTTATAGTCCAGGCTAGCCTCAACTCATAGCAATTCACCAGCCTGTCTGGGATGTAACATTCTCTGAGTCCTCAGGGCATCACTACTGGCTTGTTTTGTTCTGAATCACCTTGTGGTTAGTATTCATATCTATTTGTTCATTTATAATACAATATGTTTTCATTTCCTATTCTGTTTTTTTTGGGGGGGGTAGCTGTTGGTAGAGTTCATATACAGAAACTCACTATTTTAAATGTTCAGTCCTAATCATATGATGTTCAGTCATGATCACTGTCTAATTCTGGACTGTTTTTGGCATTCTCCAAAAGAGAAGGAAACTTAGTTCCATTTCAAGGCAGTTGTCAGTATAGTGTCTTTGTGGATTTGCTTATTCTCTTGTACATTTTTAGTTGAAATAAGTATTCCCAGTTTTATGACAGTTGCAAAGGACAGGATGGTCCTTCAATTTCCTATTTCATTAAAATGTCTACCAGACACTGGCTGAAGAGAAATGCTCCAATGTTAAAGAGAAACTCTGGCTGACTGTCCAGGCATCAAGGTGTCTCTGTCAATTTTAGAGTTTACATATTATCCTTCTGAGGTCTTAGATGGAGTTGAAGACACAGTTATGGTTTTCCTTAGTTATGATAAAAGATAAATTACATATAAAACTTAGTCTCACAAAGATAAGATAGATGATAGAATCTCTTTAAATTTTGCTAAATGTTAATGGGCTAAATATTGTAACTAATTCTTGTGTGATAACCCCTTTTTATGTATAATTTTACTATGTTAAAGTTAAAACCTTATTTAGAGAGAAAAGAGGAGATGATCAGGGATGTCCTTCTGTATGTCGTGAATATATATGTTTCTCTAGTTGGTTGAATAAAGTTGTTTTGGCAGCATATAGCCAGGCAGGAAGTATAGTCAGGGTTATCAAACTAGGAGAATGCTGAGAAGAGAAAGGCAGAGAGGAGTTGCCAGGGAAACACTGTGTAGCTGCCGAGGGAACAAGAAGGTCATGACATTACTGGTGAGCTAAGACAAAGTGGAGATACATAGATTATTAGAAATGTGTTAATAATTAAGAGAAAGCTAGCCAATAAGCCTGAACCATAGGCCAATCATAAAGCCTCTGTGTTTATTTGGGACTAAGGAACCAAGCAGGACAGAAACCTCTGTCCACATGGCAATGCTGAGTTGAACATTCAAAGCAAAAAGTTGGTGTTTATTTTTTACATTGCCCAGGGCTGCAGTTACCACATCCTTGCCAGTGCTTATGATTTTTGATAGCTTTCTGTTCTACACACAAGTGAAATGTGGCTTAACCTATTGTTTCTTTAATAGAGGTAAATTTCTGGAGATGTGTGATGATCTCTTAGCAAGAGTGGAGCCACCACTTCGTAGTGTTTTGGAACAATCCAGTAAGTATTTTTGTCATTGAAATTGTTTGTGGATCTGAGACTCTGGGAATGAGAATGTATTTTGTGTTATCATTTTCTCCTCCCTGCCAAATATTTACTGCATGAACAAACACTGTTGGTTCTGTGCTTCAGTAAGTTTTATCTGCTTCTTGGAATGTTTCTTCTATGAAGAATGTAGCATTTTCTCTTCAAAATAGAGATAAATAAATAAACAAACAAATAAGTACATAATACATACATACATATTCCCCAAACACAGATGGATATAGAATGGATATATAAATCTTGTGTAGTGCTCTTACAAACTTCTGTTAGTGAGTCCTTGGTTAGCTTGGTATGGGTATGAGAGATGGCTCAATGGTAAAGCCTTGCTGCTCAACCATGAGGGCCTGTGTTTGGCTCCTTGGCAGCCACATGAAACCCAGGTGCAGGTCCCCCTTTGCTCAGCCTCCAGCTGGAACTACGGGCACATACCTAATGACCTGGCTGCAGCAGTTTCTTTTTGAGAAATAAGTGGAGGTTAGAGGACAACTAATCAGTTGATGTCTCATTTTGTGCTTAGAGTTAAAGAAAGAAGATATTTATGCAGTGGAGATAGTTGGTGGTGCCACACGAATCCCTGCAGTGAAAGAGAAGATCAGCAAATTTTTTGGAAAAGAACTTAGTACAACATTAAATGCAGACGAAGCTGTCACTCGGGGCTGTGCACTGCAGGTGAGTTTTTTTTCAAAGCGCATAACATGCTAATATCTACCTGTTAACCTGAGGGCAATCTCAAGGAAGATTCTGAAGCCTTTGTTTAAAATGGGTAGCTGATAGACGGGTGATATGCATATGTAATTTGTCAGGTAGATTTCTTGAGTTGGAGGCCAGCCTAGTCTACCGTAGTGAGTTCAAGACAGCTAGGGCTACACAGAAACATTGCCTAGACAAAAACAAAACAAAAACCCAAAACCAAACAACAAAAACAAAAGTGGGAAGGCTACATAGATAACTCTAGGTAAGCTAGAGCTGCTGGAATTTGTTGAATTGTCTTGTTAATGTGTGAAATACTTTAAGTTCATGGGAGCTGGCAGAGCAAAAACTAGGTTAAACAATAAATTTGACAATGACAGTAGTTTGTAGAACTGTTCAGATACCATTACATTACTTTTGAAAGTAATGAGTCAGTGGTTGCCTCTTAAAAAGTCATTGTTTGTAGTTCTAGTAATACCAATTTATAATGTCTGTATGTGTCAGCTAATTTTTAAAATTACTCTAGTGTGCAATCTTATCACCTGCTTTCAAAGTGAGAGAATTTTCAATCACTGATGTGGTGCCATATCCAATATCTTTGAGATGGAATTCTCCAGCTGAAGAAGGCTCAAGGTAATGCATTGTTCTTCCTTTATACACCGTGTCTGTCAGGCACGTGAAACATGGTGATAGTTGTCAGTATAAATTCATGGCCAGGGATGTTGGTAGTCTAGCATGTGAGAGGGGAGGCAGAAGATCAAGAGATAAAGGCTATCTTGAGCCATGTTCTGAGTGTTTTAAAAGATATGAATTAGCACCCTGTCATTTAATTTTTTATACTTGTTCCCATTGAGACTTGGTATCCTTTTGTGCTCATTATGTATAATTCCCCCTCCCCCCCCTTTTTTTTTTTTTTTCAAGACAGGGTTTCTCTGTATTGCTTTGGAGCCTGTTCTGGAACTCGCTTTGTAGACCAGGCTGGCCTCAAACTCATGGAGATCTGTCTGCCTCTGCCTCCCGAGTGCTGGGATTAAAGGTATGTGCCAGCACCACCCAGCAGATATATTCCTTTTTAAAAGTATGTTATTTTTTGCTGGGAGTTTGAGGCCAGCTTGGTCTACAAAGCTAGTTCCAGGACACCCAGGGCTGCTACACATGCCATACAGTGAAACCCCCCCCCCCCCCCCCCCCGTGGAGGTAATTATTTCTTTAAAAGCCCATTAAAGGATTACATTTTTTGTTTTTGTGTATTTTAGCTGCATGCATGCTTGTATACCGTATTTGTGGTTGTTGTTTGAGAACTTGAGAAGAGGGCATTGAATGTCCTAGAATGGAAGTTAAAGACAGTTGTGAGCCAACATGTGGGTGCTGGGAGTTAAATCCACGTCCTTTGGAAGAGCAGCCAGTACTCTTTAACTGCTGAACTTTCTCTTGCCTCATTTAATAACCTGGAAATAATATCAGGAGAAACTAGGATGTTTCAATTAATTACAGTTCTAGGATTACGTTTATCAAAAGTGTTAAGAACATCATGAATTTGGGTTAAGGGTTAGGTGGGTAAAACGCTTGTCATACAAACCTGAAGACCTGGTTCAGATCAGCAGGACCCATGTAAAGCTCAGGTGAGATGGGAGGTGGAGTTTGACTCCTGAGAAGCTGGGACTTCTCAGTTTGACTCCTGGGAGCCTGGAGTGGGCAGCAGCAAATAGCAGAGACCCCACCTGAAATAAGGTGGATGGCTGTCCTCTGACCTTAACATGCATATACCTACAAACCCCCATAAAATAAAAAGACGGGAAGAAATTAATAAGCAAGAATATTATTTATGGGATTTTATCTTTTCTACCTAGTGACTGTGAAGTCTTCCCGAAAAATCATGCTGCTCCTTTCTCCAAAGTCCTCACCTTTTATAGAAAGGAGCCTTTCACTCTTGAGGCCTACTATAGCTCTCCTCAGGATTTGCCTTATCCAGATCCTGCTATAGGTAAGTAAAATTGGAAACTAGAATAGTAACAAATACTTGTTTCTATTTGGAATTCTAAAGGAAAGAAATACAGACTAAAGTTGAAGAGGCTACAAAAAGGGTTGGTTATGATTTGGAAATGCTGTCTCTTGAGAAGAGAGAGACCAAGAGTTCTGCAAGATGTGTGCTATGGATGAAGAACAGGCCTCAGAGGCCTGTAGAAATTATAGGAAGGAAGTTGCTGGCTGCCCAGCTTTCCATTTGTAGGATAGGAAGGACCATGACAGTCATACCCAGAAGGCTTAACGTTTATGTCCTTTCCTGTCTTCTAGCACTGGCCTAGCACTTCTTTCGAGCACTTGCCTAGTTTTGGGTGTGCTCTCACTAACACATTGGTCTTCCATACTTTTCCTCTGAAATTCACTATGTGGCTGACCTCTCCCACTGGCCTTTTCTCTTTCAAGTAACTGCCAATATACAGTTTGCCTGTCCCACAGTCATTCTTTTTAAACTCTTAATTGTCTTCAAGCTTTAAGAAAAAATTTTCTAAAACAAACCTTTGGTATAGTAGTGAGATTTATAAATGGTAATTTCTTAGGAAATGACATAAACTGGAAATTTTAAAAAGTAAATTGTGGAATTTGGGCACTTTACTACTTCTATCTGGCAGAGCATATGCAGAATAGGGGACTGGAGGAAAGTTGAAACCAGCAGGAGACATTTGAGCTTTCATTGTGGGGCTGTCTAAATCGAGATTTTTGTGAGAGGAAGGAGAAAGCCACCAAGAAATGATCTCGTAGCCTGGAGCCTATTTTATGTACATGGAAGTTTAAGTTCAGTCTTATATTGTACATTCTTTTGTATCTTTTCTTAAATCCCTAGCTCAGTTTTCAGTTCAGAAAGTCACTCCACAGTCTGATGGCTCCAGCTCCAAAGTGAAAGTCAAGGTTCGGGTAAATGTCCATGGCATTTTCAGTGTGTCCAGTGCATCTTTAGTAGAAGTGCACAAGTCCGAGGAAAATGAGGAGCCCATGGAGACTGATCAGAATGCAAAGGAGGAAGAGGTAACTTGGATGTTTCATACCATTTATGCTGGTCAGCTGACTGGCTGACAGGAGCACTGAGAGCTGCTGAGTGGGTCTGTACGTGCCTCACTCAACCCAGTTTTGTATTTTATTGGAATGGAAATGAACTGAACAATTGGCTCTTCCCTTTCAGACCATTTCTCAGCTTAAACTACTACTGATCATAGGAAAATGCTCTTTGAAAACAACATAAAATGTCTGTTGTTTTCAAAAGTACTATAGATTATGTATTCTTGATAAATGTAGGTCTATTTCTCTTTGTACATCAGACTCAAAAGTTTGACTCGCTTCTCCAGATGCAGTTTGTGCAGGGATTCAGGCACCAGCATTCTGCATAGCATCTTGAATTATGTGTATAGGTCGCCCACATCGAGCTCTTGGTTCAGGTGCTCCACAAGCTTTATTCTCTGTGGGTTTCTTCTCTCCCCCAGCATGTACAAAGGTTGTGTTTTTGAGATCAAAATGGTGGTGTATGAACTCTTGCCAAAGTCAGGGCTCTGGGAGGAAGCATGTGGAAGGGAAGGAAACTTGCTTCAGCACACTCTACTGAGTGCTTTATGGTTCATAAAGCAATTCCGTATTTCCTCAACCTCATACAAGGGTGGGCATGTTGGGCATCACGTGTCCTACTTTGAGGTGTTGAACTCCAGAGAGGAAAGCTTGGTGTCCTGGGTAACTTATGTATAGTTGAAATTTTGAGCCTCAGTATGCTGATCACTGTAAGTCAATAGGAATTCTAGACCATGTGATTTTGAGTGTCGTTGAAGGCTGCCTAGTTTTTTTGGTTAGATTTTTCTGGTTTCAGTGTTTAATTTGACTGTTTTCAGAAGATGCAAGTGGACCAGGAGGAGCCACATGCTGAAGAGCAACAGCCACAGACCCCAGCAGAAAACAAGACGGAGTCAGAGGAAATGGAGGTACAGCCTGAGAATTCTCAAGTCTCTTACAAACCCCAGGGGCTATCTCAGAATGTTGTTAGACACCACTACCTATTTGTAGTCTTTATACACTGGGTAGTGCTTTGGAAAGTTTAAAAGAGCATATACCATTGATAATTTGTTACTGATGAAACAGGGAGACATAAGATTTCTTTTCTCTTTGCTCAAATTTTGCTAAGTGTTTTACTTTGGTAATGTGTAGAAAAAATTATTTTTGAGACAATTTTTCTGTGTGGCAGTCCTGGCTGTCCTGGGACTTGCTTTGTAAACCAAGCTGGCCTCAAACTCAGAGATAACATTTGCCTCTGCCTCCCAAGTGCTGGGATTATTAAAGGTGCAAGCCCCTACCACCTGGGATGAAGAAAAAAAACTTTTTTGTTTGTTTTGAGACAGGGTTTTGGAGCCTGTCCTGGAACTTACTATGTAGATCAGGGTGGGCTTGAACTCACAGAGATCCATTGGCATCTGCCTCTTTCTGAATGCTGTATTAAAGGCTTGCACCTTTATTCTACATTGCTTACTTTCTGTCTTGCAGAATAAAAATTCTCTATATCTGTCCTTTCCCAGATCCCTAATGATCACCATTGTTTTCCTCCTGAATTTGCTACTTCAGATAGAACAGAATTCACTTCTAGATGATAGCCAGGAGTTACTTTTGACTTGATTGATTTTAAATTTAGGTTAGTCTATGCTTTTGTTCTTCATAGTTTCTTTTTCTTTAGACCTCTCAAGCTGGATCAAAAGATAAAAAGATGGACCAACCACCTCAAGCCAAGAAGGCGAAAGTGAAGACTAGCACCGTGGACCTGCCCATTGAGAGCCAGCTGCTATGGCAGCTGGATCGAGAGATGCTTGGCCTGTATACAGAGAATGAGGTATATTCACATTGTAGCCTTTAGGGCAGTGGTTCTTAACTTTCCTAATGCCTTTAATACAGTCCCTCATGTTGTGGTGATCCAAACCATGAAAGTAGTTTTTCATTCTACTTTATTTACTTAGTCACTCACTCACTGTACTGCATGCTGTGGTGATAAGTTTTTAGACCAGGCTGGCCTCAAACTCACAGAGATGTGCCTGCTTCTGCTTTCCAAGTGTTGGGATTAAAGGCATCTGCCACACCACTGGGCCGTACAGTTCTTTTTGTTGGCACTTCACAACTGTAATTTTCCTTTTGTTAAGAACTGTAATGTAAATATCTGATATACGACCCATGTGGAAGGGTTGCGATAGGGTTTCTGCCCATTTGGACTATTCTTGATAAGATCATATTTAAGTAGTATAGCCATGGCTTGTTAATATTCTTTGTGTATGATAGTAACATGATGTCTGCATTGCTTGCTCTGTCAAGAGGCTTTTTGCTTTTGTTTCTTCCTGACTGTCTGAAACTCACAATGAAGACCAGATTGGCTTGATCATAGAGTTCCACCTGCCTCCATCTCTCAAGTTGTTGGGATTGAAGGTGTGTGCTACCACCACCACCATGTTAGGCTGTTCAGAGGCTTTTGACACTGTCTTTGTTTTCGGGGAGTATTGCTCAATTTTGGGGAGTATATGTGGATTTGAGGTGACGAGTCAGCAGCTGGTCAGTAGAAGTCCCACAACTAAGGCAGGTCCTCTGTACCTGCCAGATCTTAGAGCAGTTCTGTTTGACATTTGATTTTTCTTAGTGTTGTATAATAAAGTAGAAGCACCCCATATGATTTCTAAAATTGTTTCTTAAAATTTAGTTGTCTTTTTTTTTGTTGTTGGTTGGGGTTGTCCTGGACTCGCTTTGTAGACCAGACTGGTCTTGAACTTAAGAGAATTCCCTGCCTCTGCTTCCCAAGTTCCAGGATTAAAGGCATGCACCACCATGCCCGGCAAAATAAAAAAGTTCACATAAACGTGTATAGGACCCCTCTGACCCCCTAAACTGGGTTTCTCTGTACCCCTGGCTATCCTGGAAAACTCTTGAGTAGGACAAGTGGGATCAGAGATGTGTGCTACTACTCTTAGATACATGAATTTAATTTTGATTTAATATTTCACTATTCCCCCCCCCTCAAAAAAAAAAAAAAAAAACCAACAAAACTGACCTTCAAATTTTCTTCCAGATTATATTCCTAGCTCTGTTTTGTTGGGGTGACTAAAGAGAATTGCAAGATTTGAACAGGGAAAGCTTTTTGTGTTAGTTGATGCTTCATAGGAAATGGTCATAGTTGGCCTTGTGTCTGATTCATTGCTGCTCTTCCCAGGGTAAGATGATCATGCAGGATAAATTGGAGAAGGAACGGAATGATGCCAAGAACGCCGTGGAAGAATATGTGTACGAGATGAGAGACAAACTTAGTGGTGAATATGAGAAGTTTGTGAGTGAAGATGTAAGTGTGCTGCTCCCTCGTTGTGGGAGTGTAGGGAAATCTTGAGACACTTGAGAAAGAATGTCTGCTACTTTGTGTGTGATTAAGTCACCAAAAGTTTGTTGAGAGAGAGCGAGCACTCAGTGGTTAGGAGCATGTGCTGCCCTTTCATAGGATCTGACTTTTGTTCTCAGCTCCTTTGTGGTGACTCTCAATGTCTATAACTACACTTCTAGAGAAGTGACACTCTTTCCTGGCCTGCATGTGGTACAAGTACATACAGGCAGGCAAAACATTCATATGGATAAAATAAACTCAAATACTGAAAAATGTTCTCTTTGAGTGGGATTTACATAGTTGTAAGTTTTTGACTATGCATGCTTTCTTTATATGTATGAAGGGTGCACATGGATGTGAGTTCATGTAGAGGCTCAGAATTGATATCTATCTTCCTCAATTTTTTTTTTTCTTTTCTTTTTCCCCCCACTTTGATTTTGAGGCAGTCTTTCCTTGCACCTGCCACTGGCTGGTTTTTACTAGTGTAACTAGCCATCCTATTTCAGGGTTCCCTGTTTGTTGTCTCCTGAGTGCTGGGATTACAGGAGCCGACACACCTACTTGTCTTCTACATGGGTTCTGGGTATTGCAAACATTAACTACTTCCTGGTCCATCTCCCCAGCTTTATTTTGCATTTTGTTTCCCATTACAGTGTGTGCGTGCGTGTGTGTTAGTGTGTGTGTGAGAGAACACACATTATAATCATGTTTTCTTTATTTACAGGATCGTAATAGTTTTACCTTAAAATTAGAAGATACTGAAAATTGGTTGTATGAAGATGGAGAAGATCAACCCAAGCAAGTTTATGTAGACAAATTGGCTGAATTAAAAGTAAGTCTCTTAAGCAGAGGTATCTATGCCTCCATAGCTTCCAGAGAGGGGTGCTTTTAAGTAAAGAGCACAGGCTAAAATATGCATTTTAGAACTGTTTGTTCTGATGGCCTAATCCATTATTCTTCATTATAGGTTGAGTTAACCTTCTGTTCAGTGAGTTAGGATTGAGGACCTTCTTGGTGTCAGGACATAGAAGTAGCAGCAAGTCCTAGCTCTGCCTCAGAGGTGCCTGCCACACAGTGGGAGTCAGGGCTTTCTCCCATAGTGTAGCTGAGGTCCAGTATGGTTTTCATGTGGGTGAATGCAAAGCATCTCATGTATGTATGAGGAAGTCAATGGTAAAACTTCTGTTGACAGAGTTTCTTCTGGTCCCACAGCAGTTTAGTCCCAAATAAACACACAGAGACTTATATTAATTATAAACTGTTTGGCCGATGACTTAGACTCCTTACTGGCTAGCTCCCATAATTTCTAAATGGCCTTATCTTACTCACCTGGCATGTCCTATCTTCCCTGTAGCTACATGGCATCTCCTGGAAGCTCCTCTCCCCATGATTCTCCTTGTCTGGTAGCCCCACCTATAGTTCATGCTTGGTTACTGGCCAATCAGTGTTTTATTTGTCTACCAACAAGAGAAACATATACAGAAGTATATCCACCATCAAAAACTGGTTGGTTAACATAGAAAGTAATGTCCTATTTGAGGCCTTTGAAGAAAGTTGTAAATTCACTGAGGGGAAATTGGAACATTCCCTGTTGTGTTGGCTTTGCATTGTGGATTTTCCTAAAGAACTAGGCATTGCAGCTGTCTTAAGAACAGTGCCTAGGGCTTACTTAGCTCATGCTGGATGCAAGTGGTTCTGCTAGCTATGTTTTTTTTTTTTTTTTTTTTTTTTTTTTGGAGACAGTCTGACAATCTATTTTGCCTATTATTCTGGAATTCAGTTTGTTTATCAGGCTGACTTTGAACTCAGATCCACCAGCTTTTGCCTCTCAAGTGCTGGAATTAAAGGCTTGCACCACCACTGCTTAGCTTCACTGTGCAAAATGTTTTTCTTTGTCATCTGGGAGATGCCAAGCATATGATAGTTGAGGCTAGTCATTGCAGCCATGTCTTTTCTGTACTGTACTTTCTCCTAGCTTGAGTTAGACTTTTTGTGTTTGGGGTTATGTTTAATAGCAATTATTTTCAATGTGCTTGTAAAACCTAGTTAGTGCCTCATGTTGCACCACCATTGCACCAGAAATGTTGTGTCTCTGTGTTAAGTTTTCAAGTTCTCATTTCCTAAATAGTGATCATTTAGTTGATTTGAATTGGGGCCCAGATACAGTGCACATAGTTTACCTTGTCTGTGGCTGACTTTATGTTCTGCCTTTTCTCATGTATGTGCTGTAGACATTGGGTCATTTGTTGTGGAGAATCTTCTCTGGGATTGGATTTTGCCAATTTTTAAAAAACAGTTTTATGTTTTTCTTTATTTTATGTGTTTAAGTGTATTGCGTGCATGCTAGTCTGTGTGTCACTTATGTGTCTGCTATCCAAGGAGGCAAAAGAATATTGGATGCCCTGGAACTAGAGTCACAGACAGTTATGAGCCGCCATGTGGGTGTTGGGAATTGAACCTGGGTCCTGGAAGTGCAGCCAGTGCTGTAACCACTGAGTCATCTTTCTGGCCCTTGGATTTTGTCACTTTCACCTTGGTAGTTGTATTGTGGTCTCATCAGAGTCTAATATGACTTAAAGGTGTTGTTGAGATTTTATTTATTTTTTTCTGTGAGAATGTATACCTGAGTGTGTGTCTTTGCACCATGTCTCCTTGGAGGCCAAGAGTCTGATTCCGTCTGTAAAAGATGCTTGTGAACCCCCTACCCCTAGCATGTGGGTGCTAGGACTTGAACCCAGGTTCTCTGAAAGAGTGAACAGTGCTGAGCCATCTCTCCAACACCTCCAGTGTGGTTTTTGTTTGTTTTTGAGATAGGGCTTCTCTGTGTAGTCCTGGCTGTCTAGAACTTGTTCTCCAGACCAGACTGGCCACAAACTCACAGAGATCTGCCTGCTCCAGTATGGTTTTTATTTAATAAGAAAAGTTGTTGGGGCAAGTACATTTAGAAGACAAGTAACTTTGGAGGTTTTGTTGTCGTCCTACTGTGAGAACTGGGTCTTGGTCAGTAATGAGAAATAATTCCACTTGGGACAGTCTTGACTCTTGCTCATGAGCAGCCAAAAAAGGAGCTTGGTACTTCTGATGGTTTGGAGAAACATTTAGATTATTATACATGCATGTAGTGTTTATATATTTGTGTGTATTCATGTGCGTGACACACATACCCAGAGAGTGACATTTTAGTCTTATTACTAATTGTCCTAGTAGCAGCAGTGTAACTTAAATAGTATAAGCTAACCTGTACAAACCTGTGTATTCTGTTAGAATTTAGGTCAGCCTATTAAGACACGGTTCCAGGAATCTGAAGAAAGACCAAAGTTATTTGAAGAACTAGGGAAGCAAATCCAACAGTATATGAAAGTGATCAGCTCTTTCAAAAACAAGGTATTTTATTTTCATTTTCCTGTGATTTTTGTTTAAGGCACTGTGTATTTGTTTTTGTGTTAGGGTTTGGTGGGGTTTTTTTTGAGATAGTGTTTCTTTGTGTAGCCCAACCTGGCCTGGAACTTGCTCTGTAGATTAGGCTGGTGTAGAGGTCAGAGATGTGCCTGGCTGCTCTTCCTGAGTGTTGGGATTGAAGGCATATTTTATTAGTTTTAATTCTTGTGCACATAGAAGTGTTTTATTCTTGTGAACACAGGAGGTATTGGATTTGTCCTGGGGCTGGAGTTACAGGTGGTTTTTAAGCTGCCCAACGTGGGTGAAGGGAACTGAACACGGGTCTTATATAAGTGCCCATAGCCACTGAACTCTCTCCAGCCCCAAGATGAGAATATTTGAAAGACAGTATTGGGCAGGGAGTGGCTTATTCTTGCTTGGCACTTAGCTGTCAACCCCCCCCCCCCCCAAACTTATAGGAGGACCAGTATGAACACTTGGATGCTGCTGACATGACGAAGGTAGAGAAAAGCACCAATGAAGCGATGGAATGGATGAATAGCAAGCTGAACCTGCAGAACAAACAGAGCCTGACAGTGGATCCAGTTGTCAAAACAAAGGAGATTGAAGCTAAAATTAAGGTAGTTTTCAACTTTGTGTACTTTGGTCTTGACATCTGTTTTGTTATTAATGGGACTTCATTATGCTTCTTAGCTGCTGGGATTTAGCATGCATTATAAAATGTGCTTAATTTATAAGAAATAATAGTTTTCTTTCTTTACCATTCTAGGAACTGATGAGTATTTGTAGTCCTATAATTTCAAAGCCCAAACCCAAAGTGGAACCCCCAAAGGAGGAGCCAAAACATGCTGAGCAGAATGGACCAGTGGACGGCCAAGGAGATAGCCCAGGTCCCCAGGCTGCTGAGCAGGGTGCAGACACAGCTGTGCCTTCTGATGCAGACAAGAAGCTTCCTGAGATGGACATTGATTGATTCCAACACTTGTTTATATTAAAACAGACTATTATAAAGCTTTAAGTTGTCAACTTTGTTCTAAATATCAACTAGAGCAAGCAAATACTGGAGATTTCTTAGTTTTTAGGGAACCTTGGGGGGGTGGGTTATAGGTAATATATGGAGCATTTTGACTTCTAACTAGTTAGATCCAGAGATGAAGTGCACTGACTGTCTCTCTTCATTACGGTCCTGTTTAAGAGCCCAGCTAGTCTTTCTGAGCTCTCTCCTCCCTCCTTTTGTGTTTTAATCATGCTTCTACAAGATGAAGTGTGTTTGGGAAAGCTGAGCTCTAGCAAAAGCAGTGACAGCTGCCAGGTAGGCTTTTCTTTATACACGATAGAAGCTCAGATTATGCTTGTAAAGTCTGGGTGGAGATCACCGCCAGTATTCTCAGCCTGTCGGGGGTGTCCTCCATTTTTGAGGGCCAGAGCATGGGCAAACATGGATTAACACAGGATCGTAGAGTGCAGCAGGGCCTGCTCTGAGACCTCATTGCTCTCCATTCACAGCCCCGTCTCCCTTCTCCCTCAGCAAGCAGTATAAATGACCTCTTCTCATACAGCAGGCTTTAGTGAATCAAGGGACTTGGATGCAGTAGCTTCCTATACTTCCCGAAAGTTCACTAATACAGAAGCATCAAAGTCCAGTTTGCCCTTCAGGTTAGGTTGTAGATAACATGAGTGTAGGCATGAATCTGAGGCTATCCATCCTTGCTTATTGTGGTGGAAAGATTTGTACCCTGACCTGCTCAAGTGGTAGATGTGTGTGTAAATTAGAGAATTGGATGGGACAGGATGAGAGTTCATTTGCTATGACCTGTGTTACTGTTAATATGTGTCATGAAAATGTCAATCTATATGTTAAAACAGCTGACAGATTGTAAGCTATTGCTCTGGATGAATGAAATTAGAGTTAAGGTGCTCAAGGTCACAGGAACACCTTATTGTTGACTGCAGACAGTGTCAGGGCACCACACATTTCCTGGGGCAAGTCTATAGGAAGATGTTCTGGAAACAAAGGGATGCCTGCAGTAGAGGGCAGAGTCGGTTACCTGCCTTAGTTACAAGTGTTGGTTGTTATGTTCTGGGTCTTTGTAATCACTGATCTCTGTAACAGAGCCTATCTGTTTGTTCCCTTTTGCTTGTTGGAAATAAGCTTAAAACCATGCACAGTTGGATTCACTATGCCTTCTGTCTGTCTACACAGAAAGTGCTATAGCTCTCCAATGCTGTAGAGTCAGTTGATTAGGGAGGAGGAAAGAAACCCTCCCCCTTAGATGCCCCTCTCAGCACAGGCCTGGAGCCCCCCAGGCCCAGTGTACACTCTGCTTTGCTGCAGGAGTGCCTGTTGGCCTTGCTGTGAGGCCAATGGCTATTTTAAGTGCAGGCTGCAGGATTAAGCCAACTCTTATGCAACTGATTGCTCTTAATGACCATTTCTCATAAACATTGTGTGTGTGTGGGTGGGAGGGTTCGGGTGTTGGGGTGGGGATGAATTTGAAGTCAAAAGTTAAGCTAGAAATGAGGTGATCTACATCTGCTCTGTCTAGACATACCAATTGGATTTATGTGGAGGCAGGCCAGAGTGGCAACTGATGACTTGTGTGCAAGCAAGCATTTATCCAGATTGCGTTATCCAAATTGGTTTGTTAAAAACTCAAGATCACATTCTTACACTAAGAAAAACAGTAAAAGTGAGACAAAAGTATAGGAAAAACTAATAAAAGAAACTGTCTTAACTCAAATGGTTTTCTTAATTTCCTTATGTGGGCTGATGAGTATGTGTGTGAGAGAGAAGCAACAGTCTTACCTGAATGCAATCCCTCTAGGCCCCCCTACTTGGTGTAGGAATTCTTTGTGAGGCCTGCCTTTAAGTTTGATAGCAGTAGAAGATCCAGAATCTGCTAGTAGATGCATGGCGTGTCTCCTATGATGTGTGTAGGAACTGTCAAGTCCTACATAGGGAAAGATTGGAAGCATTACTGTCTGAAGTCTTCTCCCCTTTACTCACTCCCTCCCTTCCCCCTCTCAACACAACCCTGTCCTGGAAACTCAGTTCAAGAACTTGGGCTCCTTGGAAGAGCAATCAGTGCTCTTAACCACTGAGCCATCTCCCCAGCCCTCACTTCCTTTTACTGCTGGGATGAAATAAAGCTATATTATTGTTTTGGTGTCTTCCCATCCCCTCCCTTGATTTTTGTTTTCTTCCAAACAGGATTTCTCTGTGTAGCTTTGGAGCCTGTCTTGCCACTTGCTCGGTAGACCAGGCTGGCCTTGGATTCAGAGATCTGCCTACCACTGACCAGCATGGGTAGAGTCTTACTGTGTATTTTTCCTGTTGTGTGTGCTCTCAGATTAATAGAAAATTTGAGATTTTGTGGTGTCACATAGTATTTTGGAGCTGAAGAGATGGCTCTGGTTTTAAGTGTACTGGCTGCTCTTCGATGGATCTGGATTCCCAACACCCACATTGTGGCTTACAGTTGTTTATAACACTAAGCACACACTTGGTGCAGAGACACATGTAGATAAAACATAAAATTAAAAGAAAGTGGGAGTATCTGGGCACAGTGGTAATGTCCACAGCCCTACTTAGCAGGGAAACTGAGGCAGAAGACCCAAGACCAGCTTGGGTTATTGAGGGATTACTGTTCTTTCAACAACAAATACTAAAAATAATGTTTGGCTTTTAAGACTGGGTCTTTCTGTGTAGCCCTGAGTGTCCTGGAATTCTTTATGTGGATTAGGCTGGCCTCGAACTCAAGAGATCTGCCTGCCTCTGCCTTGCAAGTGCTGAGATTAAAGGCATGTGACATTATCCTGGCCTGAAAAGTGTTTTTTTTTTTTTTTTTTTAAAGAGAATGCCAAGGTAGAGGCAGGTGGATCTCTCTGAGTTCAAGTCCAGGCTGATCTGCATAGTTCCAGGTCAGCCAAAGACACATACATAGTGACATCCTGTCTAAAAAGACAAGAATCAAATGAAAGAATGCCACAATGGATTGGGGATACAGCTCAGTAGAGTGTTTGCTTTGCAGACATGAAGCCCCAAGTTCAATCACTCCATCTTTAGTATCACATAAACCCTACATGATGCATGCCTGTAATCCTAGCACTCTCGGGAAGGTGCGTGGAAAGGAGATCTCAATTCATAATCACCCTTGGTCTATAGTGAGCTTGAGGCTAGTCTGGATTATGTGGGGTGGCTCCAAAATAAGTAAGCAAGCAATAAAAGGATGACTTTAAGGAGACTAAAAATGATGTGATCAGTGGAGCTTTGTGTTTGTAGGAGTCATGGCAGGTGCTGCTGGTGGTTATAAAGGTAGTGAGGTGTATGGGATGGAGGTAAGAACTGTGGTTCCAGGTAGTTATGGAAGGAAGCCTCTAGTCAGGGTAGGAGGTGTCCCTGTGGTTTGGGGATGGACTATATTTAGTAGTGTCTGGAAAGGAAGTAGAAGCTTCCAGAAAAGGTGTGTCAGGAAGAAGGAGGCTGCCAGTGAGAAATCCAATGGACAGCAGGCCTGGATGTTTCTGGAGTGTTTCAGAAGGTGGGAGCTGGCTGAGCATAAGGAGCTTGGGCACAGTGAAACTGGAGGTCCTCAAGTGCCCAGCCTGCTGGAAATGGGTCCTGTTGGCAGGCTGGGGAGGGTCCTGTGCCTGAAGTCTAGAATTAAATGAGGATGGTTTTTGTCAGTCTTTAGGCTTCTTGTGGTTGCCAGTACATTGCTCGGATGTGTCTCAGTGGGGACAGCCCCAGGATATGACCCTCAGACCTGGAATACTGCTCTTATGGACTGGATGCTGCCATTTAGAGCGGAGGCTGTTCTAAGAACTCTAGGAAGACAGCAGGAGGGTGTGCTTTTCTGGGGGATCAGGGAAAGAAGGGACCCTGACGATGTTAACAGTACAGAAATGCCTTCCAGATTTGTGCAATACCCATCAGCAATCACCAGGCTGGCCCTGTCCTTACCATCCAGTTTTGGCCCACGCAGTCAGGACAGAGAGAATTGGGGGAATATTTGCTTCCAATTACTCAGTGGGATTTGCATGATTCAAGCCCAGCACTCAGTTATACACTATAGGAAGCTGTGTTTGTCTTGGGTCCTTATCATGAGCTATGCCCAGACTTAAATCCTTCCAGGGCTGGGTGCCTGTTAAAATTGTGGAGTCCTGGATCAATAGAGTGCTCATTGTCTGCTTTTCTTATCTTCAGTTAGCAGACTTTTTCCCAGTAGTATTTCAGGACTCAACATTGTTCAGCTTTGTTTCCTACATGAACTCGAGAACTTATTCTAAAATTGGGATTGGAGAGACAGCTCAGCAATTAAGAGTGCTTGCTGATCTTGCAAAGGTCTGAGTTTAGTTCTTAGCACCCACAATGGGCTGCCCGTAACTGCCTATAACCAGCTCCAAGAGGATGAAAAACCAAACCTCAACTGCATTTGCAAGCACGAACACACACACTTTTGTGCATGCTCTCTCTCTCTCTTCCCCCTCTCTCTCTTACACACACACACACACACACACACACACACACTTAAAAACAATAAATCTTAAAAAAAGACCCACCATACTTTAAAGACATACCAGCCTGGGAAGAATGTGGTCAGTTCCTGGGACAAATCCCAGCCAGGGTGAGCTGCATCAGAGGGTGTGTCCAGTCCTAGGGCATCTTTTAGCTATCCCAGCAGGAGCTGCATTAGTTCATTTTCTTGTTGCTGGGACAAAGCACCCAACAAAAGCAACACAAGGAAGGCTCACAAACTGCGGCTCACAGTTTGATGGTACAGTTGGTCCCGGTGCGGTGCGGAACGTGTGGTGATGAGAGCATGCAGGAAAGAGATGAATACTAGGGCTCAGCTCCAGATTACCCTTCAGGAGGTTTTTAGGACCTCAGTGAGGTGCATGCTATGCCTGAAACATTGAGAGTTCCATGCAGCTTTCAAGGAAGTCCCCTGGTTGGTTGAAGGGCCTTGCCTCTGTGTCTGGTCTCCCTATGATGCAGTGAGTGGGTTCCA